GTGCCTGTCATGGTCAAACTGGGTAAATATTCCTAGGACAGGCCCCTGTTCTTTAATCTTTGCAAAAAGAGGGTATAACAGATCTTGAAAAGAGTTCAGAAACATTTGAAATTTGAAACACATAGCTGTTGTTGGAAATATTAGCACCATAAAACTACATACAAAATGCTATACGTTCACTTCTTATTTAATAATAAATAATTGTAATAGGTATTCACATTTGTATACTCACTTTTTGGTTTCAAAAACATATTCGTTGTCTTTTGTTTTTAAGGTATTTAAAAAAAAAAAAGTGCCCTTCCGCCAATAATCTTTTATATAATTTGTTTATATTTTATGTAATTTATATTATGCACAAATTGCGTTATAGATTATAATACGGAAATTATTTGAAAACCCACCGTTCAAGCTGGCAACGGCCAGCAATCGAATGAATTTGAATTTATATGAACCAGAGCACAGCTAAATGATTGAAATTTTTATTATATTTACATTATGAAACGATCTACATATAAACATGCTCGAATTGACATACATATAAGTGCATATGTATGTATATTCTGCATGTGCAATAAGAGCTTTTGGAGCGTCGAATGGGAACGTCATATGTCTTATCAGAATCAGGACTGGTGGGACTGGTGATCACACGATGCAGACAGACACACAGTTTGACAGACGGACAAACAGATTGACAGGCGGACAAACAGTGCGACGAACAGCCCAGAAGCCATTCAGTCAACGATGGCATTTACCACACTTTGTGCTCTAAATGGGGTCAGTTTAGTTGGTAATCAGCTTATTGCACTTTTGTATTCAATTGGTGTCCATGTGTGCTGCTTAGCTCGAGTCGTTGGTCTAATTGGACGAAGCCCTGAACTATATTTCCATTAATTTACTCCATTTATGGCATCGACTTTATAAATTAATCTTTGATTTGACACGCACACAACACTTTTATCGCCTACGCCGTGGTGAACTTTATGCAACCGACTAACTGGGAAATACTTGAAATAAAGCCAACGAAAACTCGAATCAAAATAAAATATCCAGCCGAAGAAGTCGTTGAACGTCGCGACAACGAGAGAGAGCCACTGAATATAATAAAAGAAGAATTACAAACGAATGGAAACTGGAAACTGCGATAGTAAAGATCCCAAGAGAGTGGTCCCAGCTGCAAAGCACGCACAAAAAGAACTAACTGTAATTATGTCACATTCCAATGGAAGTACAAAAGTTCTCTGCGTGAAGTTTGTTGCCTAATGCAACACTCTTGTGCTTCTAATTGGAAAGATTGGAATTGGATAGATTGAGCAAATTATATAATTTTTAAAATATATATGTTTTTGTAGTTAAATTATTAGGATAACTAATTAAGAATATGCAATTAATTAAGAATTTGCATTTTAATTATGAATATTCTCATTATTGAAGTTAAATTGAAACCTCTGTATTACATGAACATTCATTTGATTAAATTTAACATTTTATGATGTATCAAAATTTTCAAATTACTTATTGGAGTATTCCAAAACTGTAGCTAGGGTTTCTATTACTATAATTTGTTTTTTTTGGACCTAATTAATACAAATATTAATATGCCCAATCTAATTGTTTCTAGAAAAGTCTGCCGCTTCTTGTGTGTGTGCTAAAGCTCCTAAGATCTCTTAAGAGGCGCCGATAACACCAGCAGAACGGATGCCAAGCAACTGCCCAACGACCCTTAAAGACTGATAATATAAATTTATATATATGTACATAGCATATACGATTTGAAATCAAAGCAAATGGTTTGGTTTATTCTTGACTCTATTGTTGTAAATTCAGATTGTCAGTTGGTATACTGGGGCCATATACATGAGGGTAAATTATGAACTATAATTAACTATCGGTTAGGGTGTTTATTAACACATATTCAAATGGCATTTTGTTTAACCGGCTAAATATATTTATATTTCCATATATATTGATTATAATGTGCATTAAATCTGGCTCGCCCACATCTTATACTTAAGAAGAACACATGTACATATATACAATATTACGTTTTGTAACCTGTAAACATGATCAACTGACCGCTAGGGTTCTCAACTTAGCCCGCAATTAAGGCAAGTCAAGCAATTAAAAATTATACAGAACAGCTCAGTTGACGCAAATAGCCAGGAAAGTGAAGGGATTGCCAACTGCCAATTGAGAAGTCTGTTCTGTGCGTTAAGAGCTCAGATATGAGATTGGATCTGTCGGAATACAAAACCAAAGCAAAGAAGCTACAATCCCTAAAAAATACTTCCGCATCTGTGCATTGCGTTGCTTGCACACACACACACACATACATATATACATATGCTACGTCACGAAAAAACCTGTGAGAGTGCATAAGTAAAGGGCAAGGGCATCTTCCAGTTTCTCTGATGCACATGCCATGCTGGAAGGTCGCGTTATTGTTACGCCCATCTGGTAACCCTAATTTAACACTTCCAATCTACAACCGTGTGATGCCAGCCTCGATCGCATAGTCTTGGCGCCAAAGCTCCTTCCAAGCGCCTCAGTTGCCCGCAAGATACGCACACAGAAACTAACTCAGAAGCCGAAAAGTTTTGTTTGTCCTTAGTGTTATTTTTTAATAGAACCTTATTTTCGCTACTTGGTCGCAGCTAAAGATTATTTGTTTTAAATATATTTTTTATTTAAAGTTTACGCCCATATTTCAAGAGAATTTCTTTTACTTGTTTTTGTTTAATTTTTGCTAATTTTGAAAATTTGTTAATTAGTTAAAACAAAAATTGATTTTGTTAATATAATTTTAAACGATTCGATTGATGTTATAAGAGATAAGTGGCTTTTATAATAGTAAAGGCGGGCCACTTCTGGGTTTCCCGTTGCACACGTGAGTATATTAACAAAATTACAGTGGTTCAAAAGTTATTTAATGTGAATATAATTGCTCGGTCAGCTAAAGCACGTGCATAACTATGACCATCGGAGTCAATGTCAATAACAAATCTGTTTCGTTAGACTGTACAACTACTAACTGTTATTATATACAGTTACCAATGGAAATGTGTCACTCAACACTGGAAGCTGTTACACTCTATCTCTCCTTCTCCCTTTTTTGCATTGCTATCACCTTCCTCGTTCGCTCTGTGCTGACATTGGGCGTTTAATTAACACCGCAAAGCCGGTTATTTATTCTATTTTATTTCGCACTGTTTCTTATTTATTTAAATTGGTTTTTATATTGATGTGCCCATGCAAATCTTTTCACTTTAACCGTTTTATTGCATTTTGCACTCGCACGATATATATTTTTATGTATACCCTGTATTTTAATCAAGGCTATCCAAAAATGTGTATCAAAAACGAATCTTTTATCCTCAAAAATAAATAAATATTGTCATTAACAACATTTCTCTATCTGCTGCTGCAACAAATGTGTGCTTCGGAACTTTACATCCATTTACAGGGTATTTTGCAGTCCAGCTCTTCCAACGAGAGCATTCTGACAAGTTTCTATTGATGTTCTTATGCAAATAGTTTATTGTGAAAAGTTTTATTGACATCTGCTGTCGCAGACAATTAATTAATGAAAAGCTTTTCATTTACTTTGATTTACATTGAGCTGGAACGAAACTGGAACGCATAATTCCACATGCATATAAATATAATTCAATTATGGGTTTTTCTGTTTTTGCCTTCGAATTCCAGAGAAACGGCAAGCACGTGTCTATTGGGTGCCAAGCACCGGCATCGATAAACTTTGAGCCCCAAAGCATAAGCCCAAAGGCAAAAATAACAATTTCAATTCCAGTTCCGAGTTCAAAGTATACGACATGACCGAGCGCTTGTACAGGTAAGTACTACTTTCATCAGTAATTGAGATTTGTATTACACTTAAAGTAAGAAATGCTTTTGCCATTACGAATTTCGGTTCTCTAAAACTGATCAGCAGAATTTAACTATAGCCAGAAGAGGGTATTAAAGTTCCAGGTATTAAAATTCCAGGTACATTTTTTAGTAAGCAGATTTTGCAAAATCATTGCAGTTATGCAATAAATTTGATATGGACATTCAAATCTTTTGAATTTATGCATTTGTAAATATACAAAAGCAAGAGAGGAGTAGTTTAAAGAACCCTTCTCGAAGATACCCTGTAGTTTCTAACAACATCATATTTGGGTCTGGCTCCAATACGATCTGTATTACAGCGATTTCATGGATTCTATTTTCTATTTTGCAGCTGGACCTGCGAGGGGGCCGGCGAGAACCCCGCCTACTATGCAGCCCAATCGCAGCTCTATTCGACGGCTCTGCCGCCAACTGTCCTCTGTGCGGACTATATTAATAATCCTGGCGCAGGAGGTGGTTTGCGATACCTCAATGGACTGGCTGGCTATACCCCACCGCCGGGTTTGCTGCCGCACAAGTATACAGGTGGGCCGCCTGCGAGTTCGGCCATGCCCGGCGGCCAGCTGGAGGTGTGCCAATATGCGCATGTGAATGGCAGCGCCTCCTGCTACAATCGCAACCGTTATATGCCCTACAATCATAATCGGGCATGCGCAGCGGCTGCTGCAGTTGCGGCGGTCACCGGTCATCCGCTGATTAATCAACATCATCAGCAGACGGGCGTGTCGTTGGGCGCGGGTCCGGGCAGTAGCGGCGGATTATCGAACAGCTATCAGCCATCGTTCGCGCCCATTTATCAGCACACAACACCGCTGGCCACGCCCAGTGCGCTGCCGCCGGCCAATGTATCCGTTTCGAGCAGCACTGCTGCGGCCGCTGATGCAGATTACGGCTATAATAATGGGCTGACCAACACCATGGCGCCCAGCATGGTGCCGTTGACCTGCTCGGGCGCCTCCACCATGTCCACCCATAGCGGTGGCAGCAGCTCCGCCGGTGAAGCCAGCGGCGGGCATGGCTATGCAAGTGTTACCGATCCCAGCGATGCGGTCACACTGCAGATTACCAACTTGGATTACTCGCTGGACGAGACCAGTTTGCGCAATTTCCTGATGAGCCAACTGAAGCCCATCACGCCCGTCGTGTCGCTCAACTTTGAGGCCTGCAGCTATGCCAAAGTCACCGTACCGGATCTCTATGTAAGACCGAGCTCTTGCCGGGAAACCTTTTCAATAATAACAATAATAGAATAATAACTTCTCCAACAGTTTGCCAAGCAGGTGGTGTCCAATTTGCACCGCAAGAAGATCGGCCACAAGCGCATGCTGGTCAGCTACACGCGCGACTCATCCCTGACCGAGGTCAATACACTGCGCTGCCAGGTTGCTGGACTGTTGAAGGTCGGTGTTAAAAATAGGTTTTGGCCTTACAATTTCTTATGTTCTTTTTTTTTTTGTAAATTTTCTGATCTTCAATCAACCTTTTGGATATTTGAATGCCAGCTTTAACATACATTTTAGCATGTCCTCGTTCTTTCCTTTGAACATTTTGAATTGAATCACATTAATCACACTTGCCTACCCACAGGATGTTCCGTACTATACATTACCCATGTATAAGTTCCGCGAGCTGTTCCAGTCGCGCTTTAAGACCTCAATCAATGTCCTGGATTTGTACAAGATGCAGGACATCTGCTCTATTAAGTCGGACAACAACGACGGCCAGTTCATCAGTCTGCAGGAAGAGCTGGTCAACACGCTGGAGAGCTCGCCGCTGATGGAGGGACTGCAGCACAGTGTGCCCTATTGCACGGTGCACTTCAAGCGGGAGCAGCACAAGGGCTGGGCAGAGCAGGAGATCGAACCGCTGCCTAATGTGTGCATGACCATTGCGGAAATACAGCATCTGATTTATCCGCTGCTGAAGCATCATCCGGGCGATATACCCGTGGCTACGCTGCTGCACTGCATCGAGAGTCAGTTGAAAGTGAAAATTGCGGCCGACGAGAGCGGTGTTAATCTGGAGCATCTCGTTTGCTGTGTCCAGGGCATACAGATACAGGTGAACAACTTTGGTATTAAGATTCTCGGCTGGCTGGAGCTGAACAAGGAGGTGTCCATAAGTGGCGCTGGCATGGCCAATGCCAGCCTTAATAGCACTGATCGTGGCAACGGCAACGGTGCTTCTGGCGGTTATTTCAAAAACTCTGTGGCCGATCCTCTTTTCCAAATCTCACGCGAGGTTATCGAGCTGGTGAAAATGTCGCCCAAGTCCACGATGAAGTTCAATCGCTTCATCCCGGCCTATCACAACCATTTCGGCAAGCAGTGCCGCGTTGCGGACTATGGCTATACCAAGCTGATTGAGCTCTTTGAGGCGTTATCCTCGGTGGTCCAGATCATGGGCGATGGCGAGAATCGTCAGATAACACTCACACATCGCACCCAAATCCGACGCTTCACTTCGGACTTGTTGCGTGTGCTGCGCGCCCATGGCAACAACTCGGTGCTTCTGTCCCAATTGCCTGGGATTTTTTCCCAGACCCAGAATCGCAACTTTGATGTCACCGATTATGGTGTGTGCGACATTGTGGACATCTTGGACGGCCTGGTCAATAGCAATATTGTCGTCCTCAGCACAGTGCAGCAAGGCAAGGATATACTTATATCCATTCCCAAGCGCAAGCAGACCAACACGGAGCTGGAGAAGACCTGTGTGTTTGCTGGCGAGATGGTGGAGCTCTTCCAGAATGCTTTGCAGTACAGCCTACTCTTTCAGAAGTTTGTGCGCTCCTATCACTACCATTTCGCCTATCAGTGTCGCCTGAGCGACTATGGTTTTCTCAAGCTGGCGGATCTCATGGATGCCATACACGGCGTGGTCGAACTCGAGATGACCAGCGATGAGGACAAGAAGATTGTGCTATCGCCGAAGGTGGCTAGACGTGTGTTTGCCGAACAGTGCGAGGATCTTATACGCAATGTCACCGGCAACTCAACCAATTGTATGAAGCTTGAGCAGGTGCTCAAGTTGCACAAGAAAAAATATGGTTATCAAATGCAACCGCAAACATTGGGCGCACCAGACATAGCCAGCGCCATTGAGCTACTGCCCTATGTCGAGATAGTGCACAAGGAGCAGGCCACCTGGATGATCTGCCACAACGACGATGTGGAATTCCGCCAGCTATGCTATCGCGCCTGCAAGCAGCTGCTGCAGCGTGAGGCGATGGCAAATACTGCGGCAACTCCTGGAGAGCCCACATCACCACCAAAGCAAGAGCCACTCAGCCAGGCGCAGTTCGCTAGCGACTTCAATGCAAAGCACAAGGTACAGCTAACGGAATCTACACTTCATGCCATGCGGCATGCCATAGAGGTGAGACATGGCAACGGACTTACAACCCCCTGACTCTATAGATGTTCTTATATTGTCTTAGATCTACGTGGAGGCGGATGAGCCTTGTGTGCGACTTACCAGCTTTATGCGATTTCTGGTGTCCATTGTGCGTCTTTTGGAGCAACGTCCCAATATGTATTTGTACGAGCTGAAGAGCGCCCTTGACTGTGGATTGACCACCACCTTCGAGTTTGGCTTTCCCAATTTGTATTCAGTTATTGTGGCTCACGATGATCTCTTTACGATCAACATGGGACCCACACAGGAGCGCAGCGATGTCGCCCTTAATGTAAATTGCGAACGTAAGTGAGGTTAACCTAGATGTGGGTGGTAAAAACAGGCACGTGAGGCAGAAAAGTAATTAAGAAACGACATCTTACCTTTCACAGTACGCCTCAATGCGGGAGCCACTCATCAGCATCTGTTTGGCTCCCTGAAGCTGCCCTATGCTAAGCACAAGGCTCAGCGAAGCAAACGCACACCGCTCGGAGAGCACAATCGTCCACCGCCAACCCAGGCGCCGCCTCCGCACAAGACCCGTGCCATAGCCAATGAGTATGCGAGCAGTATTGGCAGCGTGTCCAATAATGCCGCCCACAAGCCGCAGGTGACGATCAACAGCTTCCAGGCCTATCAGGAGCACTTTGCCGCCAGCTCAGCACAAGTCAAATGCTCCCCACCCAGCGCCAATTGCTCTGTTATGTCATCCACAATGCTGAACAGCTCCGGTACCGCCAATATAAGCCTGTGCAGCAGCTGCAGCAATAAGGAAAATTCGCTCAACAGCAGCTCGCATCAGATCTTTAACAGCAGCAACAGCAACAGCTCCTTTAATACATCTTGCGAGCTTAACAGCAGCCTCTGCGCCGGCGATGTCGCCTCCAGCACAGCCATAACCTCGGCCATGCCTTATGCTCATTCTGGCAAATTGTGGTATCGGCGTCAGGCCAGCTTCTATCAGCAGCAGCAGCATCAGCAACAGGTGCAACAGCAACAGCAACTGCAGCAACAGCAACAGCAAAGGCAACAGCAAAGGCAACAGCAACAGCAACAGCAGCCTACCTTGATGCAGCATTCCTTCGACTCAGGTCGCGATTTATATGATTTGGTCAGCTGCAATGTGGCGCCGATACGTTCTTGCTATGATCCACCCAAGCCCGATACGCCGCCATCGGAGGTAAGTGCTAATAACAATACTTGTATATAAATTATATAGATATACAATTGATTAATGAATGTGTATTACCATTAGAAATTGCCTTTCTGGATCGATCCCGTATGGAGCAATCAGTCGGAGCAGCCAAAGCAAAACTTGCTTAACATTCGACTGCCAGAGCTGAAGGGTCTCAATGTTCTCCCCATGCTTTTGTCGCCCTATACTATATCCAAGCATGCGAATATGAAGCGAAAGCTGTTTAACTTTGATAATCACGATCGTAAGATAGCCTAAGCAGCAACAAATTCTAAAACAGAAGAAGTTTAGAACTTATAATTTCGTAACATATTTTACGTACGACTGCGGAAGCGTTGAAACTTTTTGTATAGGTTCCTGGTGAGCCTTAAAATTGTCACAATTTAATTTAATTTCGATCAAGAAAATGATTATCTTTATTAAATTCCTACTATATATACTATAAGATTCCTTCTTTTTTTTTATAAATTGTTATACGGATCACAACAAACACACACACATTTTGTATTTTAGTTATAAGCTTAACTTTGTAAATTGCTTCAATGTTGCGCCAAACAAAATATATAAAAAATTCGTTAAATTCCTGGACCAAACAAGGATATGTCTGACATGTCTAAGGACTTGAATTTCCAAATAAGCTATACCTATGTCCTTTGGGAGACAAACAATTCTTGGCCTGGTGTCTTTCTGATTTTCATCTACTACTCGATCGTTTCTTTCTTTTCGCTTTTCCATTCTCGGTCTGCCGTATGGAATTTGGCGGCTTTTAAATTATGAGTGACAATCACAAAATTCTGGGTATACAGTAAGTCATCAGGACAATTTCGATGCTCTTTGATCAATGGATACGGACAAGGATAACCGCCAAATAGGAACGCCAATTATTTTTTGAAAAGGAATATAAAATCGTTCAGATTTCTTACCCTTAGTGATAATATTGTGGCAACTGCAGCTGCATCATCTGGGGGAAGTTGTGGCATTCTTTGCGTTTGTTGTTAAGCCTTGCAGAGCCTTGCTTAAAATGTCCTACGCCTCTCATTCAAGGTATACGCAATCTAACTTTTACGAGTACCGCCTCGTTCAGCCGCTATCACTGCAAAATAGACTAGAAGAATCACGTGAAATTAAAAACAAAATATGTAATTGAATATTATGCATCCAACACCTAAGTGATTTTATACTCTAGGTTAAATATAAAATATAAATGGATTAGTTTTTGTGATGCATGCTACTCTACTACCAACAAACAACAAACGGGCATATTTTTTTTGTAACAAAATAAAATGATATTTGCTGCACTTTAATATTGTCAATTTTGGATATTTTAAAAATCGGGAGCAACTTGACGGAGGAAAGCATTGGCTATCTCAATTCCAAAGAAGGTCGCTGCATTGGCCGGAAAGGCCCGGAGTATAACAGGTGTAAAGCCACTAAAACCGATAATAAATTAAAATTTACCGACAACAAGATCAAATACTTAGAAGAGACTAACCGATAGAGTGCCGAAAGTCCATCATTTTTTAATAGGTCTTTAAAAACATCTCTTATACCATTAAATTTGCCTTCAGGAGCTGCCAAGTTAGATTTAAATTAAACAAACTACAATTGATTAAGGAGAACTATTCTACTCACCGGATTGCAGCCGGTTTTTGAGCACATCGGCGGGCATACCGCCGATCCAATAAAATATTCCCGCCAGTCCTCCTGCAAGTATAGCGGGCATTAGATCCACATTGGGCCGGTCATATCGCCGTTTGTACTGATCCGTTAAGATCTCATAGCTCAGAAAGTACAGACCGTTGGCGGGCATATCTGGAAAAATGAATGGGCAAGCGATTATCTCATCATAGTTACATGGCAGCCAATATAATTGCCATGCGCGCAATACGCTTATGACATATATTAATTACATGTCGATATCGATTAGATCGAAACTCAATGCGAAAAGTACGCAAGCATTTACTGTATAATCAAAATAGAACTGGGGTTCAATCATTTGAGACTTATTTGAGCCACCAATTGAAGAAAGCACGCGCTGTCTCAATGCACTGCACAACACACTCTCAAAAATCACACTGCCTGTCAAAACCGGACTCGTTTTTCTCGAAATATTGTACTGTGTTCACATTTTGAGATTATCGCGAAGCACTTTCTTAATTAGTTGCTTTCTAGTCCTATAGCAAACATCAATTTTATAAAATTGATCAAGTGTTACAAAAAATGCTAAGAACAGAACAGTATTTGCACAAATTACAAAGAATATTTGCTCTTAGCTCAACAATAATTACTTAAAACCCCATTACAATTTTTTACACAGAGGTTGACTTTGAATATAAAACAAAATTTAGAATCTTCACAATGTAAAAACGATTGGCTAAGCAACTTGCGAACCAGCTGATCTGAACCTGTCGCATATGGTATGATACTGGGAGCATAACAGATTTAAATAAGATAAATATGGTGCTTGTTAATCTTATTCTTAATCTTAATACTATGCTTATATTAAATTGTTAGAGATATTTATAATTTAAACGAATTGATACCTTTAATATAAGTCATATGAATCAATTGAAGAAAAATATTAATAATGATTTCTCAATGGTCGCTTTTGTCCACAATTTACACACTTTTGCATATCACATCACATTCAAAGAGATTGCGCGTAGGTTATGTGAAACCTTAAAACTCATAAGGTTTATAAAAATATACATTTATTATAATCATTTTTTAACAAACTTTTCTTACTGTCTGACAGGATTATAACCTGGTACTACCTGTGATGACGAAAATAAAATTTAAAAATGTTCAATTAAAAACTTGGGGCAACCAAATTAAAGAACTTATTAGCCAGCTCAATGCCAAAGAAACAGGCCGCGTTAGCTGGGAAGGCACGTATCATAATTGGCGTTACGCCACGATATAGTGCTAATGGACCATCCTTGACAATCAGATCCTTGAATACGCTACGCACGCCGTGCTTATAGGTTCCCTCGGGTGCTACAAGAACATTGTAATATGAATTAATGTTAAAAATGATATAAATATATATAACAAACCCGATTGTAGACGACTTTTGAGGACATCTGCAGGCATGCCCAGTAGCCAATAAGCCATGCCCGCCGCACCGCCCGCAAATATGGTGGAAGCAGTGTTTATTTCGCCCGTTTTTGAATTCGCCTTGGCCACATCCTGTATGTACTCATAGACCAAGAAATACAGACCATTGGCAGGCAGATCTACAAGTAGGTTAAACAACATTTTAGTAATCGAGTATATTGTGATATTTGAAAATATATAGCGATTACAGCTACTTAATGAATTTAAACTAAATACGGCAGTTGTTGCTTACTCACATTTAAAAATTCTTAATTTATTGCTTTTATTTTTTAATGTTGAATTATTGATTCTTGCATGCCAATTTAGTTCTTGGACTCTGGAATTATGATATGCCAATTACGATATACGAGCACTGTGAGAAATTGTTTAAATCTTTACATGTGAGCGGCGACTTTAACGGCGCCACCAATATACATATATATATATAGTAAATCCGAATGAACTATATACCATATTGATTAGATACATGTACACAATAGCTTACACATTGTGCACAGAAAACATAAACAAGTTACAGTGGGATCGAACTGTAAGCATAAATTTAAATACCAATGAAAGAGAGACAAAGTCAAAAGTGAATAAACATAAATATCAAATTTATAATATAGATAACAACTTTGTTTATCATAATATTAAAATTGGCAAGACAAGTTTTGAAAAAAATATAGAAAAAAAAAAGATAATACTGTTTAGCACGCAATTTATACGGTTATTAATGCTATTTATACAATAATCGATTTGGAATACATTTAACAAATAACTTGAATACTAATCCCGACAGGTTTTTATAGAAAAGGTGCGTAGTTAAAATATAATGCCCAATAATTAGCTGGCTCATTTAATGCAAAATAAAATAATAAATATATGTATACAAGTTTTCATTAAATGCAACTAAATCAGAATTTAATTGTAAAAATATTATCATAGTATATACATATAGTTATAGCCAAGAATTTGTATGTTGTTCCCAAATTTTTAGAGATATTTTAAAATTGAATAAATATGTCTTTTTATTCCCAAATATATGAGTTTTTAGGAATTAACAAAAAAAACTTTCCAATATCTGCGCATAATTATACCTGAATTTTATTCACGATTTACCGATTTACCTCTTATCTATTTTAGTCTCTCTCTAAGAACTTTTTGAGAAATTTCAGAATTTCCCTCTTATAAGATAACTACAAATCCTTTCTTTAGTTACTAAATTGAATTGTTTTCAGATAGTATTACTTTTCCCTATTTTAACTACAGAGAAGGGAGGTGGGGCGACAGAAGGACGGGTTGTTATAAAACTTTTGGATCAGACAGACGCGACCTTGTGCTAAATGGAAGCTGTGGGGAAACTTCTCAAACCGACGTCCAGCATTTCAGTACATAATATACGAATAAACGATGTATATACATATATAAGTGAAGGCTTATCGGAGGATGTGACTATCAGAAATTCATTTCCGTTAAGAAAATATACTGGAATACAAAAAAAATGGAATTACAACAACAACAATAGGAGTTCAAATTTGAATGCTGATTTCGCTCACAGTCTAATGGGAACCATGGGGCTGCGTTTTAGTATATGAACGGAATTCGAGGCAAGTGTATCTGGTTAAATAAAAAACAGTCCCCGCGTAGCAAGCGCCAGTGGCTGTCAAACTGTGAGAAGCGATAATGATGATAATAATAAATGTGCTGATCGTGCTGCTGCTAGTGAGTGACCTGAACAATTTTATGATATAATCTATAAGTTAGACTCTGCATACAATAGTGCTGCCAACCACAGTCAGCCTTGCCACAGTTCGACCAGCAGCCGGAGGCACCTGTGGAACTGGACGTGCTCAGCTGCCCGTTGAGCTGTGTCTGTCAATATGCCGCATTCAATGAGCTGCCCATAGCACGCTGGGTGAACTACATGACCAGCGCGGAGGAAGGACCTGATGACTCCGATTTCCCATTGACTACCCACATCAAACTGGCCACTTGCCTGCTACAGGAAGCCAGTGAGACGTTGGCTTTGCTCAGCGCTTTGCCCATTGATTTGCAGGCTTTAGTCCTTCTACATACGGGCAGCCCGGATAGCCAATTGACAGGTGGGTTCGGGCTTTTGCAAAACCAGGCATTTAACTATTCAATTTCAACAGGATAAAAGTGCTTAAAAGAAGCCCCTTAAGCGATTAATTAATAAAAAATTGAACATAGGGTTAAAATGTATGCAGTTTTTTAGGGTTAAGGAGTTAAAAAAGCGAGTTTTAGGTATAAAATAGAAGGTCTTATGGCTTTTAAGCTCACAGTAGAGATTTTCGATTTATAATGAATATTTAAAGGGTATTTAAAATCCTAAGCAAACGGAATTTGTTAGACATCATCAGCATCAGCATCATATATTAGCTGCAGGGATAATTACAAGCTTTTGTTGGTCTCTTTAAGTTTTCCGATATGCTATTAAAGCTTTTCATCTTCCTTCTAAACAAATATTAAAAAAATGAACAGAAATCCAAACAACAGCTAGTAAACCAGGTTTGAATACAGTGTCCCAAAAGGAGATTTGTTTTTCAATATCATCTCGAAAGCAAATACTAACACAGTATTATATACGATTGCAGTGAATACGAGCAGTCTGCGTTTTCTCAATCAGCTGAGCACACTGGAAATACGCGGCACGGGCGCCACAACGCTGATTATCGACGAGCCGCTGGAGCTGCTGCAGCATGCGAATTTCGAGCAGATCCGTTTGCAGGCGAGCGAACGCCTGCAGCGGCCGAAGCACTCGAAGCTGCCCAGCGATGATTACGAATACAAGCCGCCCAGCGATGTGGCCGGCAATGAGGCGACGCCCAAAAATCAGTTGCAATTCGAGGCAGATGCCACCGTGGAAATTATGAGTTATGAACAGCATGTCGAACGACTGAAACAGACGCGTATGCCCAGCTTTTGGGGCTGGAATCTACTGGAAGTGTTGCGCATACACAATTGTCAGCTGAACGAGTTACACTGGCAGATGTTCGATGGGTTGCCACAATTGCATCATCTGAACCTCGAACGCAATGACATTGAGGAGGTGCAACCATTTGCTTTTAGCGGTGCTCCACGCTTAAGAAGTCTATCGCTGGCGCACAATGCGGTGTCGCGTTTATATTATTTGGGTCTAGCCGGTTTGCTGGAGCTGGAGACGCTCAATCTGGCCGATAATCATTTGGAGCGCCTAAGTGAGTCAAGTTTTCCGCCCTTGCCACGCTTACAAAAGGCGGACTTGAGACAGAATCCCATAAAGTACATATTGCCAGCAACGTTTTGGGTGATGAACGACACACTTGAACTGCAGCTGGGAAGTGAGCTGGCAGCCCTGAAGCTGCACAGTTGGAACAGCTACGGACAGTTCGATTCGCTGCACAAGCTGCGCACGCTGAGCCTGACTAATGTGACCACGCCCAGTTTGGAGCAGGGTGTCTTTAAGGTTTGTTAAAGTTCATTAGTTTTTATACTTTGTTCCCAGATGGTCCGTCTGCGGGTTAAACGCATTATAGATCAAAATTAGTTTTACTAGATTTATAGTTTGTTGTAGTACTGTCGATATTCTTTTGAGAATAATTGAAGACATGCCACAAAAAATTGATAAAACATATCTCCGACAGTCACAAGCTCTCATAATATATATCCAATAGTTGTTGTCCGAATATGCTCTAGTTTTAAGCATAGCAAATATTTGTTGATGAATTTCTTTTAAAGATCACGAATGCAACATCTTTTGATTTCGTTCCCTTAGGGTCTTCAAGCCTTGGAGCAGCTGACACTGCGCGGCCGCATTGGCAGCGTACAGTTTGATGCATTCGCTGGCATGGAGCAGCTACGTGAGCTGGACATGAGCCATTGTGGCATTGCCGAGCTGTCCATGGATGCGTTGCTGGGCGTCAAGCGCCTGGAACTGCTCAATTTGGCGCACAACAATTTGACACATGTGCCGAATGGTCTGCTCGATGATCAGCAGCAACTGGTTGTGGTGCAGCTACAGGGCAATCAGCTGCGCACGCTGCCCACCAGTTTTTTTCATCAGCCACGTCTGCGCGTCGCACGCCTCGACCAGAATCCCTGGCAGTGTAATTGCGACATGAGCAATTGGCTGCCACGGCTGACAAATGTGGTGCGTGGCCCCAGCGTGGAGCGCTGCGTGCACGACATCGATGGAAAGCCCATTCTGTGCAGGCATGTGGTCAGCTACAAGATGGATAAGAATCTGGTGCCGCGTTGCGCTAACTTTAATGGACGCAGCGTTTACTATGTGCTGCGCAAGCAGCTTCACTGCGGAGCGCCGCTTATTCTGACTCCCTCAAGGTCAGGCAACACACGGGGCCTGCCTCATTGGCTCAAGTTGGAGCTGCAACAACATCGACAGCAGCAGCAGCAACACCAGAAACAGGGCAGCTCCAACAAGAAACAATCGCTCAAACGACAACGCAAAGGTCATTTGTCGCAACGCAACCGTTTGGATTATATATTAAGGCAAAAGCAACAGCAACGGAATGAGGAATTCTCGCAAGAAACGGAAGACAAGCAAATGTCCAATGAGATTTAACAATAAGCACACTCGCACTTAGATTAGTCTTAAACTGCATATAAATATTAATTTGAACGTTTACTACCACAAACCTAATTAGAATTAATAAAATAAATGATTAAGTACACATAGACTGCAACTAAACTAACGAATGCATTCACAGCTCAGCTTCAGGACTATTTAAACAAACAATAATATAATCGACAAAAATTTAATTATACATTTACAAGCATGAAAAAACATCGAGGTATGCCGATTTTTTTGGCAAATCGAAGCTGTTTGTTAAAATGTTTCAGGATGAGAAACAAAGAATCAAACAAATTAAATACTCACGGGAGCATCAAGAGTGAAATCTTTGAATTTGCAGATGATAAAATAATGCAGCTAGAAAATGCTGAGGTTTTTGAAATATCTTTTTAAAACTGAATATTTTGCCTATATGACAGAGTATCGCATAACTTCGACATATGTTATGCCCATAAAAAGATAAAATTGAGAGGCTAGCTTGTATGAGAACAGACAGACATCTACATTGACTTCAGTATGTATATAAACTTTTCTCCTAAGCATTACATAGTTCGTGACAAAGGTTGTTCAAGGTTAAGGCTTTATATGATCCGTACAGCTCATAAGATAAACGGTCAATCGTATTTAAAATTAAAAATTGACTTACCCCTGAGCATCGTGGCACAGCTGCCTTTGAAAACACTACGCAGACCACCCTCCTTATATAGCTTGATAGCGCAATCGATCATTCCATTGTATTTTTTTTCTCCGCCAGGGCCAATGCCCTGTGTTTGCAAGAGCACCTTGATGCGCTCACCGGGCGCCATGATGAACGTGGAGAATAGGCCGGAGAACGAGCCGGCAACAAAGATTTGCGGATACGTGAGCTTAGCTTCCTCACCGCGCTGTTGCAGCCTCTTTCCCAGTGCATAGCCGGCAAAGCACATGGCGAATATGGGCGCCACCCCCGTCAGTGGCGCGGACATACCCTTGTACAGACCCCGCACGCCTTCATTTCGTATGGTCTTGGCTGCGCAGTCGAAGGTGCCGCGATACAAGGGCTGCTCACCAGGAGCTGGCCGTGGCATTGTCTGTAAACGAACCTGTGTAGAAAAGTGAACATGTTAGTTTGGTGGTAAGCCGTATCAGAGAAAGCTCACCTTAATAGTGTCAAGAGGATGCCCGGAGAGAACATTGCAAATACCGCCAAAACCTCCAGTGATAAAAGATTTAAGCGGATTCGCCTTGCGCTCTGTGGGCGTATTCTGAACATTTTCAACAACTGCCATAGTAAACGAATTTGTGGGACTGTAAAAAAGAATAGTAAAGTTAAATTTAAGTGTATATCTTATCTATATATAGATCGCAGAATACGCGGAATCGATTATTGATCCGGACCCATTCTTGTCGTTTGTAAGGGCACAAACTCCACGGCAAATTCTAAGGTCCCCGATAACTTATTTATATACAAACTATATAATATATATAAATATGTGTAAGATTGTCATATATAAGCATCTTTGTGACTATATTTCCCTCATCACCTATGTGTAATTTAAATATTTCGTAAGCCCATTATTAGAATTTGTACTCTGCCCCCAATCAATGCTTAATCTAGTGGTCATTGTACTCCAACTGATAAGGATTAAAGCAAATATAGTTTGTTACGCCAATTAATTAAGGACTACAATAATGACTACAATGTTAAATCTCTCTTATGTTCTCACCTGATGAGCAAGATTTATAAACAAGCCGAAAAATATCGTTGTCGTGGCGGCGGAGCAGGTAGCGGTAACGGCAGTGAGTGCGAGAGAGTCGGGCTCAGTGAACCTGTTGCGGGTAGCAGTGCGAGGCTAATTTGGTTTCACGAAAGATTTCTGTGAAATGTGAATGGATAACGTTATCAACGAGGCACGAACGAGACATTTTATAATTGCATGGGTGTTGGTTACGTACGTAACTAGGAAAACTTATTTTATTTAAATTTGCTGCATTGCCGGCACTGCTAGGTCTAAAGTCCGCTATCGTTCGCCGTCTAGATCACAGTCACATCAATTTTTGCATTAACATTGGCGAACGTAGGAGTTACCGACGACTTGTGTGTATGACTTTTTTTATTTAATTTTGTCTTCTGAAGTCTTATCCAAATATCGATGCTGTGTTATTTTATTTTCTATAATTAAAGCTTCAATCTAGAGGTGAGCGCAAGCATCACAACACGACCAAATTCATATCCATAAGCACGCACTTTGGTTATTTATGCTACATACTCTTTAACTATATGTGTTTTTGAATTCATTTAATAATATTTTAGTTAACTGTGTATACATAGTGCTTTCAATATATTCCATTTAGTTTAATTTCATAAATATTGTATCACGGTGAACACAATTTGGAGCACGAAATTCATGTCTCACGCGAAAAACACGACCTAGTTTCATCTCAAATTCAATGCGTCAACAAGTGCTGCCAACCTGTTCATATGTAATGAAATGTGTACAGCTGATGGTTTGTCATTAATTTTCTGGCACGTTAATTTGAAAATTCAAAAATAATTTACATGTTACTGCATAAGATGTTAATTTATACAACCATAAACTGTAAATATATTTATATATACTATATACCATAGCTTAGCAAAATATAAAGAGACATATGACTTACTGTTGTCGGCGACGACAATCTTGGAGAAGATGGCGTACGATCGGGATAAAGTCTCGATCATGCCGATGTGGCTACACATCTGTGTATACACCGCGTATAATACAATTGTACATACGTTTATCATTATTATTAATAAATAATAACCGATGAATTTTGTTTTGTTTTAATTTATCAATAATTTAATCTTTGCATTTTTAAGCAGTTTGAAATGGAAGTTTTCCGCTTATTGCGTTATTGTCCAACACTGAATTCAAGTATTTCTTCTGCAGTGCATCGTAAAAATGAAATGTGTAAACGTGTGATGTGAATGACTACACTCTCTGAGAGCAAACCTTAACTATCGATAAGTATTGTAAACAGCTGTATCACTAATGATTCTGTTATTAACTTGTTACAAACAACGGTTCATATTCAGTTAGCAGCTCTTCATTTAAAATTGTATGAAGTAAAGACCATGTTCGGCGTTATTTAATGCTTGAGTTCCGTATGCTATATAATATATATACATTATTATTTTTATTGTCCAAAAATTATAATTGCGGCTTGTTGTTATCGATAACAATAAAGCAACTGTTAAGTTAACAGACGAACAACAATCTTCGTTTGATGCACGAAGAAGAAGAAGCGAAGTCGTGGAATACATACATAAATTCTGCGGCTGCTGGGGCTTATCGTGATTTTTTTAATAGTTTTTTTTAAAGGGTAGACAATAAGCGTATGGAAAACGGAGTGGAAAATGGCTTATTGCCCGATAGCGACCAACTAGGAGCGCGTGAAAATCAAATGGGCAGCAGCACAGACGGTGAGGGCGAAGGCGAGGGCGATTCGACGCCTCAGCCGCAACAAACAACAAATGACGATGTAAGTGATGGCGAAGTGGATGGGGAGCGCGATTTGTCTGTGTCGGATGCGGCTGAGGCAGAAGCCGAAGCAGAAGCGGACGCAGAGGTAGCCCCAGCTGAAAATGTACCACCGTGTAGAATTTCCATTTTGGAGGACAGTCTGTGCGAAAAAGACGTTGATAGCGATGTGCCCGATGACGAGAATGATGATGAGGTGCGTATCGTGAACTTAAACTTTTGGCCACACAATATTTTGTTCGAATTGCTTTAAATATATGTTTTTGGGAACAGGCCAAAGAGAACTACGAGGGATTCAACGGCACTGGACGCACAGTCACATTACAAACGTTAATGGCCGCCAATGTCCTGCAGCCCGGAAAATCGCTGATGACTATTGATTATCTTGGGCAGAAATTTGTGGGCGATTTACTGGCGGATGGTAAAATAAAATCACAAGAGACTGAAACCATATTTCTAACACCCAGTGCGTGGGCCATGCACTGCAAGCGTATCATAAACCCCGAAAAGAAAAGCGGCTGCGGTTGGGCATCCGTCAAGTATAAAGGGAAGAAACTTGATGCCTATAAAAATACCTATTTGAGAAAGTGTGCTTTGCAAAAGGAGTCGACACCTGAAGACGGTGACCCAGGTAACAAATATTAGGCAGTAATTTGCTAATTAAGTACTGTCACTACCTAAAATGTAGCATGTATTTTAAAGTACTTAATCATAGTATACTAAGCTGGCAATTACAGGGAAAGGTCAATCAACGGACAACTCCCTTTGAAATTGTTATGTTCTCTATGTCCTTCGGTTACTGATAAATATGGCTATATTTGTTTTCTTTTTAAAATAGATGCAGAACGCAAGACCGATTCGCCAGATCTTGTTATAAAACGGGCAGTATTTCCGCACAATACTGTAGCCAATCGCAATATAATTCAGTAAGTTTTCAAATAGTTTTTAGTAAAGTATGATCGATTAATGTGGTTCTTACAGTGATGCCAATATGCTGATTGAGGCCGTTCCATTCACATCGGTTGGCAAATTACAACCATTTTTGTTAAGCATCACCTCCTCCGCTCTGTTGTTGGCCGACTTTCATTGCCATTTGACGGTGCGTGAGGTTTGCGGCTATCTGGGTGGCACCTGGGACATGAACACGCACAGTGAGTCCGGCCTTAAGAATTGATCATGTTTGTCTGGTGGCATGTTCAACTTATTTGTTTTCTTGCAGCATTGACAATTACGAAATCATATCCGTGTCGTAATACACGCTTTGATCGCCAACGTGCCGGGGAAGTAGAGCGTGATATACAGAAGATGATGATACAAGATCAAGTATTGCTCGTTGGCTGGTATCACTCGCATCCCAAGTTTCAAGCTGAACCCACTTTACGCGATTGCGACGCACAGCTCGACTATCAAATACGCATGCGTGGCGTTAGTGATCTCACGTATACGCCATGTGTTTCATTAATTATTTGTAAGTGTGCTAACTTTTATGTAAAACCCATAGTAAAATTGATCTGCTTATATTTTAGCACCCTACTATGAAGAGAATCCTACTTTAGAATCGGTGGTCAAGTGTATATGGATAGTGCCACCAAATGAAAATAAACAGTCCATGGAATATGGTCGACCGATGCTAATGCAATATTCTGTGCTGCCAGATAAAGAGATACCAGAGGAGGTGCGCACTGAAATACAGTCCTGCGTCGATTACTATACACAGTTTCGCGGCGAGATTGTCAAATTTCGAAATATTTACAACAATGATGTAACCTACAACGAGAAATTAAAGAACACGCTCTATCCGAAGTTTCCATCCAAGCAAAATGATAAGGCGTTATGGAATTGGTTATGTGCCGTCTTGGACTGTGAGCAGGAGGACGATTTTATACCACCGAAAACCATTAAAATTATTGACAATGATAAAGACGACGTGGTAGTAAAAACAGAGACGCAGCCGCAAGCCGAATCAGTTAATGAAATAAAACTGGAACAACAGCCCAAGGAGGAGCCTTTAGGCGAGAGTATTCAATTGAATGCTGTTGATGATGTGGCACGCAAAACAGAGGAGGAAACCTCTCTGCAAGCCGAACAAAAAGCCAGTGAACTGAAAGTAATGTCGCTGCAGGAGCAGCTTTGCATGCCCTCGGGGCTTAATATGAATCCAGTGCGCATGTTGTCACCGTTGGCCACGCCAAATCCTACGAATCACACGCCAGCTGCTGTGCCAACTGCCGTGGCGCCATCCATGCCGCTGAATGCAGCAGTAAGCCAACTACTTCCGCCACAGACGCCGGCTACGAACAGTGGACTTGGCGCTGCAGTACAGTCTGCTTCTCCGCGTGACAGTCCAACAAGCATACAGTTACAGTCGAATGCTGCTAGTCCCGCCAAGTTTGAGCTGCCTGTGCGTGCCTCGCCGTCGCCAGCCAAATCAGATGCATCATCGCACACATCCCGCACACGCAATTCGCCAGCGCCAAGTCCAGGCAAGTTCAGTGTCAGTGATATTGCGCGAAATAGCCCGAGCATAACACCCAACAAATATGATTTGACCACACCGCTGGTACCACCGTCAGCTGCGTGTTTGCCTACGGCCAACGATCTAATGGCGGCCAGCTTGGCACAGCTGGCTGGCCAATTGCCGCCCAATTTCCTTCAAGCCGATTTAGCAGCACTTTTCCAACAGCAACGCAAAGATTATGGCAGCTCGTCGCTCAATCAACTGGCTGCAGCGGCAGCCAAAGTTGGTGGCTCCAAGCAGACAAGCAATGCGGCGGCGCTGGGCAATCTGAGTGATCCCAATGTGGCAGCGGCAGTGGCTGCCTATTCTAACAGTTTCAACATGCCACTGCCGTCAGGCAGCAATAACAGCGGAAGTGGCAGCAATAACAATGGTAATAATAATGCCGGCAGCAAATCTAAGATGGATCGCTCCAAGTCTTCAGCTTCCTCGTCATCATCCAACTCAAGCTCATCTTCAAATTCTTACAAAACAAAGCTAATGAAAGAGCTGGACGAGCTCAAGAACGACCCTTTAAAGATGAGCGAACTGATACGCTCGCCCGAGTATGCTGCGCTGCTGCTGCAGCAGGCAGAGGCCTTGGGCGCTACGACACTGGGAACCCTAGGATTTAGCTCAGATTTGAATTATCTAACGGGCAATCAACAAGTTGCAAATCCAACAAGCAGCAAGTCTTCAAAATCTACATCAGCGACAGCGTCGTCAGCTTCGGCAGCAGCAGCTGCGGCTGCTCTCAGCGCCGACTACAACAATCTAATACAAGCATCCAAACTTTTGGGCTATGATTCCTACATGCAACAGCAGAGCAAACAAAGCAATGATTTAAACGTGTTCCTACAGCAACAAATGGCTGCAGTTGCGGCTGCATCGATACCGCCGCCCCCTGTTGCTAGTAGCAGCAGTTCAAAAAAACAGCAGCAACAGCAACAGCAGCTTCAACAGCAATCAGCAGCCCAGGCGGACTACACAGCACTGCTCCAGACCTATACGAAACTATTTGATCCGAATAATCAGTTTGCCGCAGCTATGGCCTCAACTGGCAGCAAACACATGAGCGGTGCCCACAATGAGTTATCCGCTTTACTTGCTGCTGGCGCAGGTGGCATGGCCACGACTGGTAGCGGCGGCGCTGTCAGTTTGAAGCAAAAGCAAAAGGATATGCAGTCTGATATGCTGAATCAGCTGCTGCAATTGGAAAAGCAAGACTCGGAGATTAAGGCGCTATTATATCGCCAGAATAAGGCGGCTGCTGATCTCGATGCGCTCTTTGCAACGCCATCGGGTGCTGCTGCTGCTGTGGCAGCTGCTGCGGGCAATGCCACGAAATCAGGCAGCAGCAGCTCAGCAGCAGCAGCTGGCGGAATCGCAACAGGTGTACCATCTCCATCAACACTATCTAATTCGGCTGCCTACTACAATGCACTTGCGCAGGAGAAAATGCAAGATTATGCGGCATTCTTTCAACAGCAGCACGGCAAGTACGGAATTCCGGATCCACTGTCAAAGTCAACGCTAGCGGCTAATAATATGTTTATGTCACCATCGGCGCTGTTTAAAATACAGCAAGAATCCTTATCGGCCATGATGATGAAACCGCCAAAATCAACCACACCGTCGTCAGCGCGTACCAGAGAGTCGTCAGCATCGCCGGCACTGGAACGCCTCACGCCCACCAAGTCCATCACCAGCAGCGCCGGTGGCGGCAATTCGAACTCCGGCAGCAAATACAATTTTAGTGCCGTCGATTTGGCCATATCAAGCGTGCCCTCGAACACGCCATCTCCAGCGCCATCTGATGGCAGTAGCGGTTCCTCGCATCGGCGTCCATCACCAGACTTAAGTCGCCTTTATAGCGAATTGGCGCCTCCGGGTGCACTTCTGGGAAATGCCTTGCCGAAAAAGCGCATGGAGTTTGCCTCGGTAGCCGATTTGGCTGCGCCGCCGCCGGCCAAGATACCGAAAAATAATGTGGGCGATGATGTTTTAAATTTATCACACGATTAGGCGAGGCGATTTGGGTGCTGCTCCTATCAACCGCATGTCCCAGTGAATGCAGTATTTCCTTATCAGTATCTACCCTTAAATGCACCAGAGCATTCAATTATATATATATATATATATAGCATGAGACGCGAATCTCCTAAGCTCCAAGTAAAAGGCAAATTAATAATTTAAATTGTAAACACCTGTTAAATAAGAATCGCATTCTACTCGTATTTGAGATTGTGGACACACGAGCATTTGTTGCAGGAGATTGTATGTACAATGAAGTAGAATTAGAAGAGGTGAAAAAAAAGAGTACAGTATTTGGAGAGTTGAATTTGAAACCTGTTTAAGAGCAATTGCATCTGCCTAGAGGAACATATTTTCTATCCGATATAAAGACCATGGAACACTCGATGACATTCACATACTGCATTGCTGATCATCATTGTAACAAATTTTATATACTTGTTTTAAAATGAAAAATGAAAACTTACCAGAAATCTGTAGATAAATGTACGCATTTAGTCCATAAACTGTTGTTGTCTGCAACTGGAATATGCAAAAGTTTCTTAAGCGCTTGATGTCTTTAAACATATTATTTATAAACTATTTTAGGTTTAATTACTGCACAAAGGTACTTTAAGTATTTTAAAATAGTACATATACAGACAAACATACATTATAAACTGTAATACACGTAATATATGTACTGCATAATTTCCAATTAACTTTGCCGAAATAAAATATATAAACTAGGTTTTTAGTTTACAATATTAAATAATAAATATAGTAAAATATATGCTTTTCCTCTATCATACGCTCTCTGAAACCGACCCCCTCTGAAATCGACATTTGTTGCTCTTGACGATTTGTCGTTAGGGGTCAAAATACCGGTTCGACATTTTGTTATGAACCATTTGAATGAATCTAGAACCAGCAGAACTGCTATGCAAAATATGATATGAGTAGCTTGTTGTTGTTTGCGCAGTGTGTCGATTCGGAGATCATTACGAAAAACAACAACATGGAGAAGTGTGGCTGTGATAAAGATGCATAGGTAACTAGGAACAGGTGTTTACGTGCCGTTTAGCTCTTTGGGGGACCGGCTTATCGTGCCGACTAGTTTCCACAGCGAATTATCAAGACAACAAGATATTTGAAAACAAGCTATCCCAATAAAGGTGTGCTCGACTTAACATTACCCTGAATATATATGCTCTGCTTACAAGTCGGCATAGTTCGGTATCTGGTTGTTACCAAATCCTAGCATGCTCTTTTCATTTCTGCTATAGGGTATTCAAGACAACAGACACAGTTCATATAAATAGCAGCGATCTTTGCTCGGGCAACGATAGTCTGTTATTCTCCCCCTCCGCTACACACATGTCGCAATACAAGGTAAATCCAATGCGTAGAGTTCTCTTAATATAAAAAAAATAGTGGAAATAAAAAAGTTACTTTCAAAGAGATAAAAAATATATTTAAAGAAGTGTCTTGGTAAACCAAATCGGACAGCACCTCCCATAAAATCCCTAATCGAGAACGTTTCGGATGATTTTTCCTTCGGTTTTCCGTGTGTGATTTACTAAGCCAAGCATATGCTAATGCCTTGCATATTATAGTATTTAACAGGTTTTGGCGGCCATTTCTCGTCCGAGGACGAACGCTGCCCCAACTCCCTGCCAGTAGCGCAGAATTCGCCACAGCAGTGCCCCTATGGACTCTACGCGGAACAGTTATCTGGTTCCGCATTCACTGCACCACGTTCTGAAAATGTGCGAACTTGGCTTTATAGGAAGCTGCCCAGTGCCGTTCACAAGCCTTTTCAACCGTTTAGCGGTGCAAAATATTTGAGCAACAACTGGGGTGAGCAGCCTCCAAATCCTAACCAGGTATGGGGAGAGTTAAGCTTTGTTGCACAACATTTTATAAGCTTGACTTCTATCTAAAAATGGTCAGATGCGCTGGAAACCATTTGATATACCGCCACGGAATCAAAAAAGCATTACATTTGTTGAGGGACTTCATACGGTTTGTGGTGCCGGCGATATAAGAGCACGGCACGGTTTGGCCATTCACATCTATCTATGCAATGTGTCTATGGACGACTCTGCATTCTACAACAGCGATGGTGATTTTCTTATAGGTAGGATAAACGCCTATTACTATATTTTTGGATTTGTAATAATAAATGGATTTTCAGTGCCACAAGAGGGCATTCTGGACATAACAACCGAGCTTGGTCGAATGACGGTGGCCCCAAATGAAATCTGTGTCATTCCTCAAGGCATACGGTTTGCCGTAAGGGTCAAGTCACCGAGTAGGTGAGTGTATATTTTATATACAAGCATATCTTGTATTAGGTAATACATTTAAAATGTTTTTAAAAACTTTAGGGGTTACATACTTGAGGTTTTCGATGGACATTTCTGTTTGCCCGACCTGGGTCCTATTGGGGCAAATGGTCTAGCCAATCCAAGGGACTTTGCAACACCAGTTGCTTGGTTTGATAATAGGGATTTTAAGGGTAAGTTTAGTGCTCCTTCTCCACTTGGTTTAATTAATTTAATTTTGATTTATTTATAGAGTTTCGCGTGATTTCCAAGTACCAAGGCAGCCTGTTTGAGGCAGAACAAAAACACACTGTTTTTGATGTAGTTGCCTGGCATGGCAATTATGTGCCTTACAAATACGATCTATCGAAATTTATGGTAATTAATTCGGTTAGCTTTGATCACTGTGATCCCAGTATTTTTACGGTGCTTACCTGCCCGAGCTTAAGGCCGGGTACTGCCATAGCCGATTTTGTTATTTTCCCTCCGCGCTGGTCTGTCCAGGAGCACACTTTCCGTCCGCCCTATTATCACAGTCAGTATTATTGTTGTAAGCAATTCATTTGTCAGCAAGTAAAACGAAAATTCTTGAAGGGAATTGCATGAGTGAATTCATGGGTCTCATACTGGGCCGCTATGAAGCCAAGGAGGAGGGCTTTGCTGCTGGTGGTGCCACTCTACACTCGATGATGACTCCGCATGGTCCAGATGCCAAATGCTTTGATGGTGCTTCGAATGCTGAACTTAAGCCTGAACGCATTGCCGAGGGAACACAGGTTTGTCGGTTTTTTAACTGCCATGTCTAACACTTCAAATTTACACTTTTCCTTTTAAATTGTATAGGCATTTATGTTCGAGTCGTCACTTAGTTTGGCCGTTACTAAATGGGGCGTAGAGACGTGCCAGAAATTGGATGCTCAGTACTACGAATGCTGGCAGGCGCTTAAAAATAACTTTAAAATTGACAATTGATGGGTTACAGGCGGTTGCAGTCAGTGGAGCAAGGGTTACGGGTTAAAGCTTACATTTATTTAAGTATTTTGCGATAAAAATGTCCAATAGACATTAATAAATGTTTAGGTTACAACCGTGTGACACGATCGCTCCGCTATTTGTTTTTAGAGCAGCTCAGGTCTAGAGCCTAAATGAGATGCTCGGAGCCGAGCGAGGGCTCCGGTTGCTCAACACTTGGCTGCCGTTCAATCGACAGACGCACAATTGGTTGCAATTGATCTGCACTGTTTCTGTGACCTTTGACAGCGCAGACGCATTGTGCGAGGTGGTAACATTATCGTCGGAGCGCCGGCTGTATAAGGATTTGGTAGCACAGTTACAGGACCCTGTTCTCAGGTTCATGGGCATATTTGGAAACTTCAACAAGGACAAGTCGCCTCCTCTAGTCTTTGAGCAGCAGCCATTTGAAGAATCCACAGTACTAATCAGATCCGGTGCCCAGTCGTTGATCATTAGCGCTCGCATTTCGGGTTGCAATTGCTTGGTTAGCCAATAGGTTCGCATGTCGCCCTTACCCTAAAATAAAAGCATCTATTTAGGATGGGCTTCTCTTTTAAATTAAAAATGTTTTACTTTAATGCTGGTCAGGCCACGCTCGACGCATATGTAGCCTCCAACGGCTTGCAGCAATTGATAGGTCTCCTCCGATATGTGGATCTTCATCGCTGATCCGGTACTCTCCATGCGCGATGCCGTGTTGACGGTATCCCCAAACAAGCAATATCGTGGCATCTATTGAGATATATGTTTAGAAGAGAACTATCCAGTTCAGGCATTCAGCACTCAGGACGTTTACCTTCTGCCCAACGACACCAGCTGCGCAAGGACCAGAGTGTATGCCAATACGGAATTGCACCGTTTCTGTTGGCTTATGTCGAATTTTGAGATTCCCAACAGTTTCAAGCAAGTGGAGCGCTAATGAGGCTATCTCGCCGGCGTGACGATTGCCATTTTTTAAAGGTAGCCCAGATACTACCATATATGCGTCTCCAATCGTTTCCACCTTATATTGAAAACTTCATATAAAAGCCTTTAAGAATGTAAAAATCTTACCTTATAAACATCGTAATTGGATATTATGGAATCGCAGCATGTATACAAATCGTTCAGCATTTCGACAACCTCAAATGGAGTGCTGGTAGTACAGAGTTCAGTGAAGCCGACTATATCGCTAAATAGAATAGTCACACAATCAAAGCATTCGGCCTTAACAGGATCGCCACTCTTTAACAATTCTGCTACCGTTCTAAAAATAAATTATAATATAACTATATAACTATTATATTATAATAGTGTATTGGAAATCATCTTACTTGGGCAGCATTTGATACAAAAGCATATCAGTTTTCTTTTTCTCCTCGTATAGTAAGTTGGTTCGTTCCTGGACCAGGCCCTCCAAATTGTATGCATATTTCTCCATTATCGCGAGCATGTTGTCAAATATGTTTGGTTTTCTGAAAAATACACGGCTTTAAGCACATAACAAATAAATTAATTGTTTGAACTAACAATCCAGCTTGAAGTTCCTTCAGATGCATTCGGACAAGTCTAATGTCCGGGCGCACTTCGGGATCCTCATCCCAACAAAGACGCAAGCAGTTACGTATGTAATTTGGTATATTTAAAGTATTAAGGGCTGGCCGAAATACACCGTGCTGCAGCAGATCAGGACTTTTAACGAATTTTATGATCTCTAAAACGAAAATGTCAATGATATTTTTAATAGAGTATAGTTTTTCAAATACCTTCTTTTGTATACGCAGTCTCCCCCCAGGGTCCCTTTCGGCCAATCATCTCATATAGTAAAATGCCAAAAGAATAAATATCGCCCTTCTGTGATCCACGGGCTGGCCGGAATGAGTTGCGTAAAAGTTCGGGCGCCATACAAAGGGCACGCTTTAAATCCAGTTCCGTTCTTTAAAACAAAATTGAATTCAAGTGGGAATAGAGTTAAGCTGAATGTAATGAGAATTGTTGTCCGTACTTGTTTGGCTCATCCTGACCCGCCTTAAGTTCGTGAAGACCAAAATCCGAGATTTGGCAGACCCATCTTGAGTCGATGAGGCAGTTACTGGATCGTAAATTTCCATGCGAAATAATCTCCGAGTCGTGCAGGTAAATGAGGCCTTTAAGTATATCTGACACCAATGAAGAAATGAACATATGATCCAAATGCAGATCTTCGTTTGCAAGAACATCTTCTAGGCTTCCTCGCGCACAATATGTTGTGAATATTATTACAGAGCCATGATCAATTGATGCTCCAATAAAATTAATTATGTTTTCATGTCGAACCTGAAGTATATGTTGCATATTTTCATCCCATATAAGCACAGTTATATATACGCTCACCTCTCGCATTAATTTTAATTCCTTGCGAATAGAACGAGTTATGTCCACATTCTTTTTATGAATTTTTTTCATGGCGACAATATTACCACGAAAAAGAGCTACAGCCAATATGATGAAATATTTTTATATTATTTTATTATATTTTACTGAATATATTGTATGTAAGATTACTTGCCAATGTTTGTGAATGACCTTTTGTTGGGCTCCCCAACAACTAAAATACTTTGACGGCAAATTTGGACCTAGGATGTGCGAGATAAGTAATCAAAGTTATTATACTATATATTTTCTGGCGTATGACGTACAATATTCTTATGGCTTGGATTGTTATATTCGCCCAAGTTAATCACAGTGACTTCTTTCATGTCCACCTTCCACAATAAGCCAGCCAAAGTCTGTTCGTAGCGGTAATGCCTTTAAAGATGTTTATTGATTGTCAATAGATATATAAAATTGATCAGGTTTACTTGAACAACAGCGCGATTGCAACGACCAATACGAATGCAAATAATGGAGCAGTAATCATGTATCGCCAATCCAGCTTTTTGCGTGGACACAACTCGCCATAGAAACCGCACATTGGCTCCGCAAGCGGCGGTCGACCATTTAGCCACTGAATAGGTCTACCATTTTTAATATACCGAAATTCCTGATAAATAGGAAGCAATCATAAGTCAAAACAAGTTGTTATCTATATTCATATAAGTGCTGAACCGCTTACCGGTATAACAGAGTCTTTATTGTAGACAAAAAATCCAACTGGCTGCATGGACATTTTAGCTAGCGAATTACTAGATCGATTTGCATCGCTCTGAAGCGTTATTACAGTGTAGTTGCCCTCCGCATCGCCATTGGAGTCAATGAATACCTGACGAAAAAGTGGACTGTTAATAGGGCTCGAATAGTTATTCAACATCAATTGGTGTTCATACATCAAAGCCCTGAATCGAGTGATATGATCTGTTGAATATATGACTCATAACCAGATTTCCATCGTTTATATCGCCTCCCAGCTGGAGAACCTCCGTAACGGCACGTGCATAGATCATTACGCTATCATACAGATGTAGACCGTATATGGGAACCTAGAAAGAGATGTGTGTGCACATCATGTAAGGAAGAGTAAGGGGTTTTGGATAACATACCGAAATATTCTCGAACACTCGTTGATGATAGGGCACCAGAAATGGAGCTTTACGCGCATACTCTTTGATTTTAGTACAAATGTCACTAGAATTATTTAAAATTTCAAATTTTTGTTTTAATATTTAGCATATATTTAAACAATTTGCGTTTAATGTTCTGCAATACATTAACCGTAATATAAACAAAAATGAAAATTATACAGAGAATGAAATTTGAATCAGTTAAGCATAGCATTAACCTATTCATCCATTATTATTATTGGCACATACAAGACTTTTATAGGAGGTGTTAGATAGCAATTACCGAATATGAGGGTTTTGTGGATATGTCATGCTTATTTTTATAACTGAACGAAATGAGATTTTATCCAGTGATTTGCTCTTTTCTTTTCTAATATAAGGATCTAAGTAATCTGCAATAAGATGGGGCATGCATTAAACCTCAAGGGCAATTAATGGTGGTTAGTTTTTCAATTAACTTACTACGTTCCATAATATTGACACGGTTCGCATTGTAGATCTCATCGTCCACAGATATAACAATGTAGTCTCCGCTTTCGAGAAGTCCACGATTTTGCAGGCAGCGCACAAAGTCCACCATAGCAATATGCTCTCCGATAAATACGTATACTAGTTGATGTATTAATAATGGACTAGCTTAGTTTCTATATAAAGCTTATTTTCGATAAAACTCATGGAAATTTTAGCAGAAGAATGACAGCATATAAATACTTACTGCGTGTCGTTGTGTAAGTCTCTTCAATAATATTTTCAATTTGCGACAATGTTTTCTTAATGGGTATATAATCCGATATGTATTTAAAATGCGTTATGGTAAAGTTTCTCGATTCAGCAAGTTCCTGTCATTGTAAAAGGTGTTAATTTCATTTTTATAGATTTTAAGATGTATTACCTGAATGGCGCTAGCCACGTCGGAGCCCCAAATGGGCTTTGAACTAACCACAATTGCAAATTTTTTCCAATCATATGCACTTAACAGGCTTATGACACTTTTGGAGACCTATGCTTGTGTAATCACATTGTCAAAGTAATTAGAAAACCATGCATGTAAATTTATCTACCTTCGAAGCTGGGGCGAGGGTCCGTGCAAAGGTGGGAAAGGTACTCTTATTGGAAACAATTGAGTCAGAGCATTTCTATAGTGTTTTATTCTTAGATATTTTTATACGATTTATTAAAATTTGAAAACAATATCTACTTACAAATGAAAGCATGGGAATATTCCAGGCGGAGGCCAGCAACGCCTCAGTTGTGCAGCTTTCATCGGGTCCTATGAAAGCCTTCACCCTTTTTTCCCTCAGTTCTGTCATAAGTCTAGTAATAATGGGAAAAAGGTGACTAAATATTAACTGTGAATGCTGCATAAATTTTAAGTATACCTTAATGGTTTCACTCGATATGCACTGGTTGTGTGACCTATGTCAAATGGAATAAATTTAAGTGTCTTGCCTGGCAGCAAATTCACGTTTTTATTGACATCCTCTACGGCAAGCGGCAGACCGCCAAGAGTTACCTGTTGATACAAAAAATACAATTTACTAAAGGATTAAATACCGCCAAACTTTATTTGTAAAATGTTTAAACTTTGCTAAGATTTTGCATTTTATATCGCTAAACTTTCCTTAAACGTGATTAATAAAAGGACAGATGAGGAAGATTTATATCAATAAGGTGAGAGACTGTAAACTATATATATTTAGAATTTTATGTTGGCGGAATTTGGAACATTTCAAAACCAAGTGCATGATTGACTGCTTGGGCGTAGCTGAGGAGCTCATGATTTTGAATATTTTCAGTTAGCTGCAGCGCATTTGCCAAGTTATTATGATGCCTTATAGCGATAAAGCACGAAATGATAAATAATATCACCTGTAAAAGAAAGAGCGTTAAACTGAAGAGCAGAATTATATTGGATAGTTCGCCGTTGGCTAGACACTCAAATAGGCTGAATGCGTGCTGTCCGAGTTCTTGAAACACCTTCAAACTCCAGGGAAGAAGCATCACGAAGCTTAATCGTAGCCAAGCTTGCAGGCTTGCTCCACATAGTCGACACAGAAACTCATTACATGGACCCCCCGAGTATATGTACAATATGCCATATCCATAATAACATGTGCTTAATGCTAATCCTGTGTATAATAGACTATAGGCCAGTTCGGATAGTATGTCCTGATAGTTAAGATCATGAATTCGCCTTATTATGCACAGCATTTGGGTTGTTTCCAGAAAAAGCAAAATCCAGATAATCCGCTTTGCCAGCAGAGTACCCATTATATATTTAAGGCTGCTAAGCATGTTCTTCGTTTCTTGTAAGATTTCTAAATTGAATACCAAAAATATGAAAGTTTAATCAACAACTACTAAAGTTGCAATATTTGTTTGAAACCTAAGATCAGTAATTAATTTACGTTTGGGTAGTCGATTGTTGATTGATTGCTCTTTCGAAAAAACTATAATTAAACAGACGGAACTCATCAGCAATCCATAAATAGCAATATAACGAACAGCGTCATGTTGTCATTAACTGTGTTACATATTAAACAAAGTTAACTAATCTCAGAGCCTGATGGGCTCTTTAAGCAGCTCAACAATATATTAAAAATATGTGCATGCTTTCATATTTATATTTATATGAATTATTCTGGGACATCCGCGCATTCAACTGAGCTGCATGTAGAAGTTGCTACAAAGGGCTTTTGTTGCCGCCTCGAAACAGAAAAGCTAGTGTGCAGGGGATGGCTTCTCAGCCTTTAGGTAGTTACAGGTGAGGCTGGCTTTGGACTTGTCGTTGTCATGACAATTTAACTGTAAAGAGTAGTTCGTTATGTGAATTTAACTTTAAGTCTATCATTAATTTCTCTGGTTTCATAATATGCGCATGTTCAAGTGGTCTGGATTGTGCCTACGTTTAATTTGATTGACTGAGCGTATAAACCAAAGTCAAACTTGGCCCATTTTTTGGCCATTGACATGCCAGTAGAAAAGGTATCTTCCATTTGAGTAAAGACTTTGAAAAGGACTTGAATGAAATCAATATATTTATTTGGCTGTCATCTATAAACTAATTGTTGTGATCCAGGCACTTATGCAACTGAACACAAAGGATACCGACTCGAATCCAAGGCTAGCCTTTGCTTACAAGCTGTATCTATTTAAGTCAAATTAACAGCACCGAGATTAGTATTATAATAATAATAACTTTATCCTATAAATAACATAAATTGAATTAACTTTATAAATATTAGAATTGTTATTATTAACAATAATTAATCTGATTTTTATTGTTCTTGTATTGAGCAACGGATATCTCTGACGACTTACCCGCATTTGAGAGTATTCAGCCAGGAATCCAATATTTAATGTGTCCTTCGAGGCAGCTGTGTAGTTCCGTTGAGTTGACAGGACTGCCACAAGGAAGATGCGAATATTGTGAAAAATGCGATTGTGTGTCATGTTAACCGGGCACATTAAAGAGGAACAACGCGGAGTTAATGGCAGTAAAGTTTAGTAAGCCGCGTGACACAGACACCGGGTTAAATCAAGTGGGGCAGAGCTTTGAGAAGGTTTACGAGTCAAGAACCGCACTGAAAACTGCACATTTGATGCGAATGTATTCAAACGTGACAATGGGCCACATCTGAGCGTTAAATTTCAAAAGCCGCAACAATTTTCACTTGTTGCTCTGCGAGTCGTTGTTGTTCGACCGTTTATCCCAATGAGACTGCTGCTCGGCGGATGGCTGCCTGGTCCTTTTATGCCGTCAACTTCGTGGGGACACTTCGGCTTGGTTCCGGCATCAAATGGGGACTGTGGTTGTGGGTGGTCTGCGCGCCAAAATGAAATGGCGTTTGGTTGACAGGAGCCGCTGTGGCTAAATTTGCAAGCGTGGGTGTTGGGTATTGACCTGGGTCTCAGCGACTTTGTCGGTTTGATGATCTAAACTAAAAAAAAAAAAATGTATTGCTCTGTCATGATTTTAATTAAGAGTAACCCAACGGTAAATTATTTTGCCGTAAACGACTGGCTAGTACGAAAATTTGTCAAGTGTTGAATTAAACTCACATGACTTTAATTTGAATTATATTTTGATTCGTCGCGTGTCCTCCTCGCTTTGGGGCTTCATCGACTGTTTTGGTCCTTCAGTAATCCGTTTGTTTTGGAGCTTTTGGTTAAGAGCGTGGGCTTCTACCTACGTGCTCAAGTTTGGACACTGGTCCATTCGGCTGCATCTCATTTGGTCTGGTTCACGACCAAGGTCAGGTTCCAAGGATTAGGCACTTTAGTGTCCTAACCATGTAACGCCCACGGGCATACTTACTATTTTTTAGCACTTTTTGTAACGCTAACCAATCCCACAAGTGCTAGAACTTTAGAAGGTTTTGCATAACTAATCTGTTACGTAGTTAGTTATCATATGGTATCTGTTGCTTAAATATTTGTATGTCTGATTTTAAAGCAAAATATTAAATTATTTTCAGACTCATTAATATGCTCAGGTTGGGAGATGTTTATATTCTGCGCAGCGAATTAAGACAAGTGTCTATGTGGACTCGAATGACATTTGTATTGCCGCGAATTTAATTGATTTAACTTATGCGTTTCATGTCAAGTGTCAAGCAAATTAAAATCACCATGTCATTCTCGTATAACGACATTAGAGTACATCACAACACCAGCCTACAAATTGTTTTGTTCTTAGAAAAAATAATAATTCAATACATATTGACATTAACTCATCCAATCGAAACTTATTTCCGATTAGCAATATATGCTGTACCCGAGTGAAAACCCAAATTGATTTTACTGTTGATGGTATAATTGATTCAGCTAGAAACAAACACACGTAAAGCCGAAGGAATCAATAATTATGCATTACTGATAGTGGGCAAGTGCCTCCTTGTTGATAACGCCTGCATAGCTTGTATACTTGGGTGAGGTGCCATTTAGGGCAATGAATTGCTCTGCAACCTCAACGGCAACGCGGACTTGTGCCTCTGCAGTGCTTGCGCCCAGATGAGGCGTGGCCACAACTTTGGGATGATTGATGAGTGCTTTAGTAACCTGCGACTTGGGTGGTTCCTCGGGGAAGACATCGAAAGCTGCCCCACCGCATTGGCCACTCTGCAGTGCATCCAGAACGGCCTGCTCATCAATGATGCCGCCACGTGCCACATTGATTACCTTGACGCCTTGCTTGCACTTTGCCAGAGACTTCGTAGATATTAGGTCTGTAGAATGAATGTTTAAGATTTGAGGTTTTGGTAAAGAAATCTATATAGCTGACTTCTGGTTGCCGGTATTAATGGAGTGTGCACAGTTATATAGTCTGCCAGCGGCCAAATCTGTTCCAAATCTAACTTTTCAATTCCAGCGGCCTTAGCTTCGGCCTCCGTGGTAATGGGATCATACCCAATTATCTAGAGTTTTAGAGCCTTCTAGTTTATGTAAACAGATTTAATATACTGATCTCTTACCCTCATGCCCCAGGTCTTCATGCGTATGGCCACTTCGCGTCCGATACGGCCTAGGCCAAGCACCGCCAGGGTCTTGCCATAGAGCTCGGTGCCACTATAAAGCTTCCTGTCCCAACGACCCTCCTTCATGCTCTGACCGGCTGGCACGACGGGACGCGCCAGAGCGCCAATTAGGATGCACGTCAGTTCACAAGCCGAAATGGAATTGCCGCCTGGAGTGCTGAAAGTAAAGCATTTTCGTTAAACACACACTAAACACCAAACCGTGCCCAAAACAAAATACGCTCAGGGCGCGGGACGCGGGGGGCACTTGTTGTGACTAGACAGCGTTATGCAAATATCTAAAATATCGCGTACTCGCGTAGTATTCTTGCCAATCCAGCAGGCTCAACAGCAATAAGGGCCCGTCTCGCTCTCCCTCTCTCCCTCACCCCAGTTACAGAAAATGCGGACCGTCTAATTATGCGTGCCAAGCAGCATAATATGACCCCGTCGTTCAGGATGACAGCCAATCGGCCATTGCGTCCATTGCGACATTTGAATCGTGCATATTTGACAATGCTTCTTGTTGTTGATGTGTTCTTTTTTTTTTTTTTTGTTTCACAGGAAACATTTACTTACTTAAGGACAACGACATTATGAGCCGTTGCTGCAGCCACATCGATGTTGTCCACTCCGGCACCCGCACGTCCCACAACCTTAAGGCTGCCAGCTCCAGCCGCCAGCACTTCCGCTGTTATTTTTGTATCCGAACGTACAATGGCAGCATCGAAGTTCTTTTTAGATAGAGATTAAGTTAAATAGTTGCTTTACAAGTATGAAAATGCATATATAGTAATCATATATGTTTGTGAAAAGCTACATACATATACGCATGTGTGCATATATGCGTACATATATTAGTGTAGGTTTGTACTTAGTCAACTAACTAGGGTGTGTCTTAATATGTATATTAATAACAAAATACCAACCAGTAAGTAACTACATATGTACATTTATCAAGTGCATATACATACGTACTAATATAAGTGCATACAAACATACACATGTACACATATACATACATACATGTGTGCACAGCCGTGTGGTTGCGGCCTGCAGAATACCACCACAGCTAGTCATAGCTTGTCGTAAGAGGCGACTTACATGACGGGAATATACAGAGCTTAAAGAGCTACCTCTAGTAGGTAAATTGATTCCTATTTCCATATTTGGCAAGGGTTACTCTGTACTTACAGCTTTGGGTAAGAATTAAAAGGCGTGCAGATGGGCAACGAAAATGCTTCTTGCAACCATTTTCCGCTAATTTTCCACAGTTGCAGGTGGATTTTGGTTGAGTCAATTACGCAGGAGAAACCATTTTTTATATATAATTGACATTCTAATACTTAAAAGAATGCACGATTTAGTATTGGGGCTGAGGCCACAGGATGTTATCGATAACAAATCTAGCGGTATGGCACGAGTACTTTGTTGGTACATTGGGGCCCCCAAATGACGAAAATAATTCATTTTGAATGGGAAACATTTTTAAAAATGAATTTTTAAAAGTAGCTGTATCACCATAACGAAAATATTAAGTGTCTTTATATATAGTATATGTAAATAGAAAATTCATTAAACATAACTATAATCCTTTCCCGGCCAATTGGACAAACAAAAGACTAAGCTTAAACACTCGTAACACTCTCAGACACGCTTGATTCAGATGGGACTTTGATAATATTAAATATTATTAATTAAACTTACTAGCTCAAGTAGTACTTATACGTATGCTATGCTTTGAAAGCTATGCGTTTTCGGTTTGAATGGCAACTGGTCTCAATTTTGTCTTGAGCGAACTAGTTCAATGCCGTAGAAGA